TGAATAGTAGATTAAGTGAGAATGTACAGTTGAAAAAGAAGAAAAATTAATTTGAAGAAGAAGAAGAAGAGATGTGAGTTGTTCCATATTTCCAAGAAGTGAGAAATGTGTGTATTTGGATGATTTCAAGAAGTTGGCATATTAAGTGTGGAAAATTTAATAAGGTATATTGGTAAAGAGACATAATGAAATATTTTACATTAAGAAACATGTCTATATATTTAGGACAAGAGAAAAAGGAAATTCGGCCTATATAATTGAGACAGAGGGAATATTATTTTATTAAAAAATGTGTGATTGAAAATGAGTAGAATAATGAAAATGAAAATTTTAATGTGACTAAAATAGGGGTTTAATCTTATTTTGAGTAATGTTATTCATCCCCAGTGGGGATGAAAACACAGTCTGGATGGAGCTAATATGGCATTAAATGATATGTGAAATTAAATAAGTCATTTAATTTCACTTATCATTTAACCAATCATTTACATCCACATAGGCTGTGGATGAATAGTATTTTTCATTTAATAATCCATTATGCTTGAAGAACGANTCACCTATCATTTACAGCCACCTAAACTGTATTTTCATCCCCAGAGGGGATGAATAACATTACTCTCTTATTTTAGTTAGAATGGTAACTCAAATTTTTATCCACAATATTTTAATTACTTATGTTGTTTTGTAACATATAAATTTTAACAATTTAGTAACAATCGTGCTACATTGCCATCCTCCTTGACAAATATGTTGACATAATGTCATATAACATTTTATTATTAGACTGTTTTAATCATTGTCATCATTTTCATTCACCAACGTATTTGCCAAGGAGGAGGGTAGAAATCATCGAACAAAGTAGCAAAATGCTTAGTTTATGGATGAGAACCTTCATTAATAATCCATATATGCGCCTTCTTGTGTCCCTTCTTGCGACTTTAATGCACAATTTATGAACATAAAGTGATCTAATGTCCTATTAATTGACTTGAGAGTGATAAAGGTTGAAAGATGGGGGGCCACTCATAGAATTAAAGGCATAAAATATACAAGCATTTTCTTAGAGACTGGGTGCGTCCTTTTAATTTATGAAATATTTCTCTGTACAAAACGTTTGTTAGAAACTTATGAAAAGTACCACTCAAATAGCCTATTTAAGGGGCATAAAAGACATTTATCTTTCCCCAAAAACACAATTAACAAAGTTGATTTAAAGGGGGCAAAAGTGACATAACTGAAATTTATATGGTGCCAAATATATTGAAAATAAATTTGGAGAAAGTCCAAAAGTCATCTAAAATATTCTTTGAAGATCACATTCAAAAAATAAAATAAAAATAAATTGGAAATAATTTAAAGAAGAAGTATAGGATCCTATATTTTTGCAAAGTGTGTAGTTTGGACATATACATAGAACGCTCATAAGATGTTCTACCAATGAAGTAGTGTATTTACGAAATTTCATTTGGTCTGAACTTAATTCGTCAGTCTCGCAGCTATATAAAGATATATACAATTTCATATTCTCACAAATATATAAGATCAATGCTACATGTACAACATGTTGGAAATATATAATAAAATCTGGAAAAAATTAATGAACTCCAAGGCACGAAAAACGTTATCTTTTAAGAGACGTTTCTACCCTTTCCAACAAAGTCACGACCGGGGTATGATAGAAAATCTCTCTCAGGATACAATGGAGGCATTTGATTCAAATTGTGACTATTTGATCGAACCAAAAAAANTAACTCCAAGGCACGAAAATCGTTATCTTTTAAGAGATGTTTCTCCCCTTTCCAACAAAGTCACGACCGGGGTATGATAGAAAATCTCTCTCAGGATACAATGGAGGCGCTTGGTTCAAATTGTGACTATTTGATCAAACCAAGAAAACACCTTACAACGAAACTGATGATACCAAGGGAAAAGTGAGAAAAATAGAAAATAACGAATTTTTTAATGTGCCTTGCAAGTGAGAATTCACCCAGAATATATAGAAATGGAGGCAATCTTTTGAATAGGTGCGTCCCTTGAAATGAATGGACGCGTCTGTTGGAAGCAACCTTTTGAATATGTGTGTCCCTTGAAATGATCTGTTGGAAGAAACATACCTATTCAAAGTCT